TCACGAACCGTGAGATCATGACCTGAGCCGAAGTCAGACGCTCAACCGACTTAGCCACCCAGGTGCCCCTAATTCTTTAAGTTTTAAAACTGTATTTGGCACAGAGAAGGGCTAAATGAAAAAACAAAAAACAAAAAGCCGCAAGCCTGAATTTACTCAGCCTCCTCCAGAGTCCGTCGTTAGTAGGAAGTTAGTCGTGTGAAACTGCATTTGATTTGTCTGTGGACGTTTTCTTTCATCTCCATAGTTGTCTTTTCCATGAGTTTTTGACAGTGGTAATGGTGGTTGAGAAATCACCCCCAACACTGCTTGGAAATTATCCCCATTAATGAAGGCTTGCAGGGTCAGTCCCGCATGCCCGGCATTCAGTGTATATAAATTGAAATATGCGTGCATCTATCTGAAATTAAATTTCCCTTAAGTTGCGGGGGTTCGCTGGGAACAAAGTCAAGCCATACGGGTGGGAGGACATAACCCAACAGGATGCGAACCTGCTTGCTTTCGCCTTCCTGCCTCCTGCCCTCCAGCCCATGACAGAGACCCGCCACTTGCCGGAAGCTGAGAGGGTGATTAAGCATTTGATTTTCCAGAGGCCTTCTCATTATCATATACACTCGCATGAAAAGTAAGAGGAAGAAAGAAATTAAACACTAATAAAGCAGGCAAGGAAGCACGCTATAGATGGTGTCGAGCAGGATTTGAGCTAGTAAAGGACGTGATCGCTCACGTGAGTAGCCACGTAAGGCCCGGTAGAACCTTTGGCTAAAACAGATACAGCCGGGGGCTGACAGTTGGGTCAGGATTTTTGCCTCGTGCATGTACTGTTTTAGAGAGCATCATACACGAAGCTCAGTTGACTGTGTTTAAACAGAATATATGGAGTATGTTTGGCCCCAGGAGATTTTGCACTGACTCCTGCACCCCTGTAATAGACACGGCCTTTGAGCACTGGGCGCCCCCGTCCAGCTAAGTGCCGGGCTGACCGTCTGAAAGGCAAGTGTGCCGGAAATTTGCATCTGTCCATGATTACACCCTACGCACCGTTGCAGCTCTGTCTGCATTTCCAGCTGACCGGCTCGCACACAATCGTGAATGAAAACCAAACGGTGGAAAATAACGCCTTTTTACCTCCTCTTGGTCTGTGGGAACGACTCTGCCCCAGGGCCAGGCTTCGGGCTGCAGGCTGGCTCCCAGAAGTCACGTGGCTTAGAACGGGGTGTCTGAGGCCTTCCACAGCCTCTGCTGCCAGAGGCTGTGGTTTTCAAGTAACGCTTCGCAGTGGGACTGAAGGCCGTCGGCAGGAAGACAAAGCAAATAGAGAGAGAAGAGGGGGAACGTCTATTTTTGCCCTCCACGCGGAGTTAGATGAGCATCTTGGCATTCGTGCGTTGAACGGGCAGAAGGAGCTGGTGTCCGTGGACTGGGAGCTTTCAGAGGTCAGGGCCTGTGCCCTTCTCAGGCACGCATCCCCGGACCCGGCATGCCCGGTGCCCCGGAGCACAGCGGGACGGGTGAGCCGACACAGACCAGGGTGAAAATGTTTCCACCTCTCCATGCGTGCTGGAGACGTGTTTCCCAAACACTGGTGTGCACGCAAACCACCTGTTGAGAGGCAGATTCTTTTGTATATGTATAAATATATCACGTATCGTCAAGTTGCCTAACATACAGTGTATACAGTGTGCTCTTGGTTTGGGGGGTAGATTCCCGTGGTTCATCGCTTCCGTACAACACCCAGTGCTCCTCCCCACAGGTGCCCTCCTTCAATGCCCATCACCCATTTGCCCCCCGCCCCCGCTGCCCATCAACCCTCAGTTTGTCCTCTGTATTCAAGAGTCTCTTGTGCTTTGTGGAAAGGCAGATTCCGATTCGGGGCTTCTGGAGTGGGGCCTGAGAGTCTCCCATTTCCAACAAGCTGGGGGTGAGCGCTGATGCTCCTAGCCCACGGACCACGCTTCGGGGGTCGGGATCCTGGAGGATCACTGAACCAGCGAAAACGTCTTCTGTTTAAGTTTTGTTCCAGAAGGCTGCCACGGCCCCTCATCCCCTCCCTGGGGCAGCTGGCCTTGACAGTGGCAAGTGGGGTCGGGGGCCTTCCCGCTCCCGCTCACCCCTGGGTTTCGGGGGCGATGAGGTGAAGGCGTGGAGGCCCCCAGGTAACCAACCCCTTCTCTTCCTCCAGGGGAGGAGCGCCCCCGGGATTCCCCGGGCCCGGCGGAGGCCCAGGCACCGGCTGGGGCGGAGGCCGGCGGGAGGACGAGCCACCGCTGCTGGAGATGCTCCCGGGCGCAGCTCAAGAAGATCTTCTGGGGCGTGGCGGTCGTGCTGTGCGTGTGCTCCTCCTGGGCAGGCTCCACGCAGCTCGCCAAGCTGACCTTCAGGAAGTTCGATGCCCCCTTCACTCTGACGTGGTTTGCCACCAACTGGAACTTTTTGTTCTTCCCGTTGTACTACGTGGGGCACGTCTGCAAGTCCGCAGAGAAGCAGTCTGTGAAGCAGAGATACAGGTAGGCACTTCCGTGGGGGCAGGCCTGCACTCCGGGCCGCTCTGTTGAGTGCTGGCGTTGCGTCGGGCCAGGGAAAGCAGCGGTCAGAGGTCACGGTGTCACCTGCTGTCTTAGTGGGGCGAGGATCAGAATCCTCTCCCCTTGGGGTGGTGAGCACCTGCTTCCTGTGTCTTCAGCCCGAAGAAGTCCTTTATGTGAAACAAGAGGCATCATCTTTCAGAGACAGCCTGTGGTAGGTCCCCAGAAAGGGGACAACTGGGACAGCTCTGTCGTTCCATCGCCCCTCCTCAAAGACTTGATCGTTCATCCTCTCTCTGACCCAGGACACCTCCTTCTTTGTGGTGTGATTGCCTGGGCCTGGAGAGGGTGGCTCTCAAAGTCAAAGCAGCGTCTAGACCTTGTTGACTCTACTTTCCCACGTGGAGTCCATTGGTGTGAACTTCCTTTCCCAAAGAAGCCAGAAACCCTGACAAACTCTGTACCTCTGTATACAGCGGGGTCCCCCCAGCCTTCCTTAGAAGTCACGTTGTCGGTGTTGACCCTGAGTCCTCATCCTATGCCAGTCGTTGGATCTCATGGTTGCCCTGATCGGAGGCCTTCCTGCTGGCCCAAATCTGATCTACTCAGGGCAAAAACAAAAAGAGGCAAGAACGCTGGCCAAGGTGACCAGGTGGGCCCTGGGAACTTATCTTTTTGTCAGCCCTCATGGTGGGGGAAAAATTTGAAAGTTGAAGGGTCTCCTCCCCACTGCCTTCTTTCCCCCCTCACCCCCACCCTGCCAAACACATGCCCCACGAAACCACCGCGCCCCTCGGACCATCTGCTCCGAGCTCCGCCCCTGTTTTCAAGCTGCCATTAGACATCACAAGGTAACGAAAAACATCACGGGTCCAAGGAGCAACGAGTCTGGGGAACGGAGGTCTAGACTCAGATTAGAACCTTCCTGCGGGAATGTGCCGTTATGTCGCTGTCAGTTACAGGCGGATGCGTGAGGTGCCCTACTTTTTACAGTTCCGACAGACAGAATTTGGACTGGAAGACCAAATTGGAAATCGGACCACAGATTCCAGTTGAAGGGGCTCCAATGGAGCATAGACGGAGTCATAAGGCTAGCTTCACACGTCCCCTGAGTGGCAAGGAATCCGAGCAAATTCAGTAGACAAGGCCCCTAGGAGCAAGGAGCCTGAAGCCTGGAACTGGGGCCCAGGCCTGGGGCATTCTCAGCATTGAATTAAACCAGCGGCTCACGGGCCAGCCAGACATTGCTAAAGCGGGACTTCGTGCGCCTCTCCTGAAGAGCAGCCAGACGCAGACTGAAACAGATAGGTCTAGAAACTTCCTGAGGGCCCAAGATTGGCCCCAAGGCAAGAGAAAAATAACAGTCTGCTTTTGGTCGCAGACAAGAACAGACACTCGGTAAATGATGTATTTAACAGTCATGTGGCTCTACGCAGAGTTTGTGATGGAGCGTTTGCCTTCCGTGAAACTGACTAGAATATGAAGCCCCTTTCCCTTAGCAAAGAGTTAGAAGTGAGCTTATGCCCCCTTTCTTGGGAGAGAATCCCTGGCAGAGAAGATGACGTGTTTCTCCCTGCTCCCTTCACCTGCGTGCACTCTAACAGGGCCTCCCCTGAGGGCAGCGGTGGCTGCTGGTTTACACACGTGTCCTCACGTGATCGCCACTCGCCTCGGGACAAGACGGGCACGGCTGGCTGCTCCGGGCAGGCCTTGAGCCATGTAACTGACTGCTGAGAACAAGCACAGAAAAAAAAACCAAGCTCAGTGGGTG